CTAAATCAATACATTATTTGGAGGTTATGAAATGTTCCTAAGGCTTTTCCATGTGTTATTAAATTACAATTGTTTGGACCTAAAGGACACATGCTTATGCCATACATTCTGTTTGTGGGAAGGCAAACTTTGAGGAGGTGCCAATGTAAATGGCTAGTGTAAATGCAAGAAAATGAGCATTCAGTTCATGTGGCACCAACTCTAATTTCTAGGGTAGCATAATGTTTTGCAATCTTCCAGTAAAATTCAAGATTGCATTTGTATATGTATTTTATACATACTAACATATTTCTTTTCATTTTTTTTCTATTTTTGTCATCTGACTACTTGTATAGACTGTGTAATACTAAAAATAAATGAATGATCTGCTATATTATGGCTAATATGATGTCCCAATCATCACACTTGGCTGCACTAACAACTGAAATTAAATTTCGGTGTTAATTTTGTTTTTGAATTTTCATTGTTAAATAAGCGATTAGATTTTCCAGCTTCCCTTAAGTCATGAGATTCATTTTTAAATCTTTGATGTTCATTTTACTGGTTACATATCAGATAGGAGAACATTCACTATATTAGAGAAATAAAAATCATAAAACTGTATGATTTATATAACTATGAAATTATTTGAAAGAATATATAGTACATTATATGAAATATTAAATTTTAAATATGTAAACGTTTTGTTTTATAATTGAAATACCTAAACAATTTTTCATGAAGAAAATAGTTCAAACTAGATGGGATCCCAGGGCAGAGAGGGGGAAGTAGACACAAATTCTCATCCTTTTGAAGGAATCCAGGAAGCTGTCTCCAATTGACAACTGCTTATAAAGGAGAAGTTAGTCTTCTCCAATGGGGTCTCAGTAGGTATATAAACCCCACTTGAGTGTAGGACCCATGCCCGGCAGAGATGACCCACACAAAATAAGCTCAGTGATGTTCTGTAGAACATTTGTCTCATGCTGTTTTGTTTGGGCTCTTTTCTTTAAATCATACTAGTCTTTTGCTTTAATATTATGATTTTCCAGTTTGTGTTTTTATGGGTTTTGTGTGCACCTCTGTGTTTGTGTGTGTCTGTAGATTGTACTTTTTCATCATCATCATTATTGTTGGTGGTAGTGGTTGGTTGTTTTATTTTTATTGGTCTATTTTCTAAGTAGAGAGAGAGAGACTCTATGGAGCATGCATGGAAAATGGGTAGATTGGGGAGGAGGAAGCATGATCAGAATACATTGTTTGGATTTTCAATAAAAAAAGAAAATGATTGATGGCATCCTCTGTAGAGGATGGTGTTCACAGTCAAAAGGAAACTTCCTGTGGCTGAGTAAATAGTTTGAAAAATGTCCAGTCATTTTATGTAATTATGAAATACACCTGATTGCTTGATTTCAGATTTTTGAAATCTCATTGTCTGAAAGAACAGAGCAGAGAACAATACTTATTCTGATATTGTGAGATCATATAGACACTTGAAGAAGTTCACTTATTGGCCATTGGGGCATTCTTTCATGACAATATGAGGGTACTTTCAATTTCTATGTCTGAGTATAGGCCATGCAATGGTCCTTTAAGTATTTTATAACCATTTTAAAAAACTCAAAATGTGCTGTGTGTGTGTGTATGTGTGTGTGTGTTTGTCTGTATTTATCTGTATGTGATGAGAGAGTGAGCACACGTGCGCGCGTGAGTGAGAGAGAGAAGAGAGAGAGAGAGAGAGAGAGAGAGAGAGAGAGAGAGAGAGAGAAACACCAAAGAAATTATATATTTTTATACTACAAAATATGGGTTAGATAATAGTATTTTTTTAATCAAGAAAGTAACATGACTGGGGATGGTAAAATTCAAGTTTGTAGGGGTAGCAAGGAGATGAGAAAAGTCAAGGGGGCAACCAAACTAAAGATGTATGAGAAATGCATAAAGAAACATGATATTAGGTTATAATATAAAAGACAAATCAAATTGCGTGAACAGGGCTACCCACTATGGGTAGATAAGTTGGTCCTAGAAACCACAAACTGTTAAATAAATCTTCAAAGCCAAAATGGGCTACTTGACTTCTAGGTAGCTACTTCTGTAGATAAGTGTATTGGTAAGGAAGCTGATAAGGTAATGCCAAATGATGTGGAAAATAGGACTCACCAGTTAATAAACTGCACTTGTTTTTTTTTTTTTTCTTTTTTAAATCAACTAAATTACTGGGAAAGTCAATGGAAAGTGACCAGTTATTTTTGGCATGTGACCTTTAAGTGTGTAGATATGGGGGAAAGGTTCTTGACTCTTTTGGAAGCAGGGAGTAACTAATAGTTTGTCTATTGAACATACAAGAAAAATAAAACAAAACAAATGTGAAATTTTCCTTTAACTCAAGAAGAGTTAGTCAAAAGTAGTGATAGGTGCTTGGGATTAAGTCTCAGGATATATAAGCATAAATACACAGAAGAGCTATCCAGATTATTCATGACAACCTCTGTAATCATATTATATTAAGGGACTTTTTGCATGCCATTCCCTGAAATTATTTTATATTAACTATCATCCTATTTTTTGTACATAAGTAAGTCGGTAAAAAGCAAAAAGCCCTCACGCTAACCATGTTGGCTGTTTTACTGTGGCAGCAACTGCTTCATTGGTTCATTTAGACAAAGGTCTGGGAGTTGATATGCTTCTGTGGTAAGTCTGTGTGTGTGTGTGTGTGTGTGTGTGTGTGTGTGTGTGTGTGTAAAATCTAGAAAAACTATCACAGGCTTTATAGAAAGAAAGCTTCATATCCCAGTGGTTACAAAAGTGAGAATCATTTATTTCAGGTAGACACAGTTCTTCAAGAAATGACTCTTCACACACCCCGCATTGAGAAGAGCTGCAGCAGAAGTTTTACATAGTTATCCAAGCTTAGCTACACAAATACATGCAAAGAAGAAAAAGGAGGAGACCATTGCTACATCAGAAAAGCAAGCACTTTTTCCCTGGCATCATGTCTTTGGATATGTACCGCCTTGGAGAAATGTATAAAACCATTTAATATGCGGAATAGTCTTAGAAAACTAGAGATTTTAGTACAAAGAAATCAATCCACTGAAAGAATGCCCACACAAGATTGTTAGGACTTAGGATAGCCACACAGAGGAACTTGGAAAAGAACCCCAGGCCATTGTTATGGACCTGCATTAATATAGTCGGCTTAAACTTTCTCCAGGCCTGAGTTACACTGGGTATTACAAATGAAACTAGAACCATAATGAAAATACTGATACAAAACAGTCTCAAGGTGATCATTCCAAAAATACCCTTCCTTTCAAAATTGAGCAGGTTAATCCAGGGTTTCTTTTTGAATGTTCCCATTTAAAAAAGGTTTGTCAAGAAAATACTAGTGTTTAAAACATCTCTTAAAATGTCTATTAAATGGCAGGATTTTTTAAATAGATTATTTCTTACAAAGAATAATTCAAAAGCTATCTTCCAAGAAAACATAACTATAAACTTTAAAATGCAACTTAAAAAGATTACTTGTTTTCTTGCATATTCTTCCATATCCTAGAGAAAAAAAAAACAACTTTTTTTTTTGTTTATCATGCTTGGGTATTTACAAGTTTAAAATATTCTAAGAATAGAAACCAACCTTCAGTTCAAATCAAGTTGAATTCTACAACTTATCTTTTTTTTCTATAATTTCACAAATATTGTCCAGCTCATAATGCACATCCACATGACTTTTGTAGCTTCTAGTAGATGTTGGAAATGTTAGGCAGCAAGCTCAGGTGTCTTTTTATCTTTAACAGAATTGTAAAAACACACATGAAACAAACACCAAAGAAAGCTTAAGTGATGTAAGTCTTCATCCATAAAACTAAAAGAAGTACAACATAGCCAAACCAGTAGTTAAAGCTGGGACGGGCATCTCAGGGTTCTCCCCCAAAGTGTAGAGTTCAAATACATTTTTATATTAGGCGGTGCATGTTAGGTGTGGCTTTAACTTTAGCAGCTTAGTCAGATGGCATGCTGTAACTACAGTGTCATTTTTCCTTTGTCTCATTTGTGCATGCTGATGGAGCCTGCCTATTAGAGAATGCTTTAGAACAGGACATGCAGTGGGCTTGAGAGTCTCAATACACCCACTATACAGAATGTGAGTAGTTTCTAGCCCTGATCTTTCTCTAAAGCAACTGCCATTTGATACTCTTCTATAACTACATGAGCAAAATGTTTCTATTTAGCTCTATTGATCTACCTCCTATGCATTCAAGTAGGCAAAACATCGGGCCTTACATGTTGAAGACTAATGTTTGCCACCTAATGAGATTAAAGTGTTTTGATGAGAGATTGATTTCGTAGATCAAATTGCCAAAGTTCACATATTTTACTTGCGGTTGCAAATCTAGTAGAGTGCATAGCCAGAATTTTATATATAGATTAAAAAACAAAACAAAACAATAAAACAAAACAAAACTGTTCTTTCTGTTTCTTAATTAAAAATACCATGGGTTAATGAGTATAAAGTAAACCTGGGTCCATATAAAAATAAATGAGTATTTTGAGAATAAAAAGAAAGTGAAGTAAAAGAATATATATTTTTTAGAATAGTAAATCTTTGAAATTTAATGAAAAATGTTCTCATTTATCCATGACAATACCCACAAAGTGTGCCATTTGGCAAAGTTCAGCTGACTCTGTCACTTCACTCTGTGATACTTTTTATATCAGTAGAAATTTTTTTTTTTAAAAAAGAAAAACCTTGTAAAGAGTAGAGCTGTGGCTCTCTATCCTTTGTGAACTAGTGTAACTAATCATTTAAAAAAACAAAATGAATGGTCCTTCCCTCCCAATAGCTCCACAAGCTTGAATGTATGTAATAGAGAGACAAAGGTATCTCACGTTACATGCACACAAGCTTCATTCCGCTAATAAACACGTCATCTATGACAAGCTTTAAAGTCCGTTCCTCTCTTTCTAGCAACTATTTAACCTACAACTGTACAGTTCCTTCCTATGCTCATTCCTCTAACCTACTTTGTAATAACACCATAATCAGAGAGCTATTTGACATTACCTTCTGAAATCTCAATGCATATTAGCAAGTTATACAGAAAAAAATATAATAACTTATAGACTACATAAGTCAGCAAGATGATTCCATTCATTATATATGTGTATTTCCATAGACAACAAAGTCTTCTGCACAATTCAATCTAGTCAGTCAACATACTCAAACCCTCATCCTTATAAATAAAAGAAAAAAGCCCATAAGTCTTTGCTTACACCTAAAAATAAAACTAGGAAAATGAACATGACCACTCTAACATGGCACATGGAGCAGTAGCCATCTCTATTGTTCACAGAGCAAGGGTCTAACTACCCATCCTGCTGCCCCAGAGTCTGGAACTCTGTGGTGTGTAAATTGTGGTGGAGAAAAACATTCTTCCTGCTGTATGTGTGTAAGGAGATAGGTCCTCTGGGTGGCTGTCCAAACCTGCCTGTGAAGGTCGAGTGCTGTCGGGACAGAGCTGCTGGGTCTTTTGGTTTCTCCGAGAACATGGAGAGCCCTTCTGTCTTTGTTGCTGGCTTCATCAAGCTTGGTCCCCCAGTGGTCCTCGAGTTCTGTGTCCCTTCTGAGGTGATGGCTTCGTAAGCACCCCTTGAGTGTTTCATAACTCCTCCTAATTCCTTGTCCTTCAAGAAATTGCTTAGACATAGACCTGGGAGTTGGCAGATGTTCTTGTAGGGACTTGTCTGGTCAACTGTGGAGTATCTAAAACGGTCCTCGGTGGGAGTATGTATTGCTTTTCTGTCCCTTGTGCTGAGACTTTGACTCATGGCTCGATTCCGGTATGTAGACTGGGAAAGAAACAGAAAAGGAAAAACATCAATCATGTTACAAAATCCTGTGTAGAAGGAGGTGGCCTCCAAATCTTTATGTGTAAACCTGAAGCTCTCAATAAGTTTAAGAAACAGTAGAATGCTCCATGAAATTAAAATCAGAAGTATTATAATACTTCAACAATATTAAACGGTCAGTTTACTCAAAAAAGGCACATTGAAAACAGTTTAGCTGGTATAAATTTGTATTCTACAGTTCTATCTGAAGATATAGCCTTTTATTTTGTATTGGATAAGTACAAAAGGTCACTACTTACTCCTGGATATATTCATTTAACAATGTACCCAGAGAGTTACCATAATAACATGGTTCTCAGGTTCATGATTTCTCATACCTAAATAGTAACCTAGAATTTAAGGAATTGAAAGAGCAAAAGTCATTTCAACCATAAAAGGATAGCAGTAGAATGGAAGAAATTTCAGCACATGGTTTGTTTAGATTTTTTTAGATACAACTTATCTTTCAAATGCAGGCCAAATTGCATACCATCTTCCTGCTTTCAAGAAGCTTAAAGGTCTGCATGGAATCAAAACATCTCTCATTTAGCATTGCTTTGGAGGAGGTAAAGACTACAAGCTGTCAATCATACTCCTCTGAAGCCCACAATTTTATGACTTAGAAAACATATTGTGGTAGAAACAGAAACTTGCTGCAATACTGGTTCCTGAAATAAAACGGAAAGGATGTGCCATCTCTACAAAGAATAACAGAAAATTTATGAAGAACAGATGAGGGAGAATAGAGCAGAACTATGGAGATTGTGGTGCGATGGCACATATGCAGATGGAGCCAGTAAAATTTCCAGTAACTTGAAGTGTAAATGATGTACAGTAGGGTTAAGTACTCATTGAAAATAAAATCTGCAAATCTTATATTTGCCCATATCCCAAATTGCATATCCAGCTGTCATCACTCTGCTGTGTAAGAACTGTCACTATGTCCACATTAAGCCATGCCAAATCCAAGTGTGACTGTCATCTACAAAACACACCTTTCCCCCTTTAATAATAGCAGCATTGTCTGTCTTAACACCTCAGAAACATCCTGTGTCCTCCTTTCTTTAAGTTCCTGCAGACCCAGTGCTTGCTGATGTACTGGAAAATCTCAGACTCTAGTTAAACACTACCTAGCACCACCATGGCACACATTCACTTGCCTGGCAATGCTGAGCATTTGACAGACATTTATAAATAAATTTGTGTGTTTAAGATTATACTGTAGAGTGCTATTTTGTGTAAATCACATGTCAAGGACTCTGCTAATATTCTCATGTATTCTAGGACTATATTGTCATTTCAGTTGAGGCTTCAAGGTTATCATCACAGAATATACATTCTACTGCATTACAAACTCTCCTAACTATGTTCTTTTGCTCACCCATTTCAGGTTGAAGTAAAGAGCTACATACATAGACATATTCCTTCTGTTTTGGCCTCAATGTTGTCATTGACCGGGCATTCTTATTTTGTATCCTGGTCTTATTTGCACACCCCTTCATTCTCTTCTAAGCTACCATGTAGATATGAAATAAGATGCTAAGTATCTACCTTAAGACTAATAAAAAATACCTTATTTCATTGGAGGGTCTAAACGCAGTAACATTTATCTTCATTATGCAGGAGTTTTCCTGATCTCTTTTCTTTCTTTTTTTTCTTTTTTTTCTCCTTCTTTCTTTCTTTCTTCCTTCCTTCCTTCCTCTCTCCCTCCCTCCCTCCCTCCCTCCCCCCCCTCTCTCTCTCTCTCTCTTTCTTTCTTTTCTTTGTAGCTCTTCCCCAGTACTTTTGGTCTTAGTCTTCTTTATAAAAGTAAGCATGGCTTCTCTCCCTCTTTGTGGCATGACCTAAGATACTTATTAAAGCATTTACTCTGTTACTAGAGAAGTGCCAATCAGCCCTGTCCTTAAGTCCTGTAACCAAATGCAGCCCTGTCCAGGCATTTAGGTTCTGTTTCATAGCAGAGAGAAAAATTCTGTTTCCAGTGGAAGGAGACATTGGAAAATCAACAGTGATAATGCCAGATGTGTTGCTCTCATTGTTAGGAAAAAGTTGATTGGCTAATGGCTAGTAGGATTTTGGGGGCAGAAAGAATGCTGGGGAGAAGAAGAGCAGGGTTGGGAGTAAGATGCCTTGAGATGCAGAGCAAGCAGAATGGGAAGTATGTACATGAGGTAAATGAGCCTGGAAGCAGCACATAGATTAATAGAAATGGGTTAATTCAAGTTGTAAGATCTGTTTGGAGACAACCTTAAGCTACTAGCTGAGCATTTGTAATTAATGTCTCTGTATGGTTATTTGGAGACTGGCTGCAGGGACAGAGAAGTCTGCCTACAAATGGTGACCAAGCATCCAGCACCTACATCCACATAAGACCTAAGAAAGATTTAAAAAGGTTCTAAACACACACAAAAAAGAGCCAAACACATCTAGTCTTGTGCCTCTCATTCCAGCTGCAGTATAGAAAAGCATCTTCCAGGAGTTGCCTGCAGGATGGAGCCAGCGGCCAACTGCTAGCTCAATTCACTAAGTGGAGCAGTGTCAGTGGCTGAAATATCAGTTTAAGATTCATCTCACATGATCAAAGAACAATATAGATGCTCAATAAAGTCAGATCCAGAGGTAAAAATCCTCTAAGTGGGTTACAGTGTGCTTAAAAACTTATATAAGTCTCTATATAAGAGAGAAGAGAAGTAAATATAGACATAGATTAAAAAATACTTTAAAAATAAAAAAGGCCTTAAAATGAATAAAGCAAAATGAAAATAAAAATAAATAATAAATAATAATAAAACACTTAAAATGGGAAATACACAGAGAGTCTGGATCTTGTATATTATTGTGTTGCCTTTAGGTTTTTTGATTGCTAATGAAGGGATGACAGCTGCTAAAACATATTGGATTACAAAAACTGCTGGATTAAACCAACCTTTATATTTTAAAAATGGAAATCAAAAGATTTGTTACTTTGGGCAAGAGGTTATGCTTTTATTTCTTTAGGAAATGAGAGGCTATGGATTTATTCTGAATTGGCATGGATCAGGTTTGATCAGGGAAGACCCCCTTGAAAATCCTAGCTTCAGGAATAAAGAAATAAACCTAGAAAAACTACAAAACACATAATGTATACTTTGCTTGCTCAAACATAAAACAAAACAAAAAAAAATCATCTTTGGCTAACTTGTGTACAACACATAGTCTGTACTTGTATTAATACAGACATGTATCTAGTTTTAAAAGTTTATGTATTTTCAGAATAAGGAGACTAGATACCAATAAAAAAACAGAAGGCCCAGGTATACAGCATCTCAAAATGTCTCTGTTATATGTCCTCAGAATTCTGTATCCAAACAGTTTCAAGGCTACTGGCTAAAATGGTCCAGCCTCATAAACTACTCCAGCCATGACTTAATATAACCCTGATTTTCTCAAGGTCCCTTCAAATAAACCAGTTACCACAGTCTAAATTATTTTGAGACATTAATCTCAAAATATTTTATATTGATACATACTTTTTATATATTGGTACAAATTTGAAAATATTTTTGTTATATTATATGCATATTTATACTCTTGTTTGGGGTATTGTGTTTGTACAGCTCAATTAAAAATGTAATATATAATTAAGAAATAGAGATTAATAATCATCTATAATAGTCAAACTTATAATCATGTTAGGTATATTTCAAGGCCATACACAGATATATTTAGATAGATAGATGCTCTTCAAATGCTTCAAAGACTTATAGAATATGTCATTTAATATGTTTAATAATATAAGGCTTTTCATGGCAATGAGATGTGCCTGCTCCTGAATGTACCAATTTGCTTCAAAAGAGGATGGGCATCGAAGGAACTCCAAATGGAGTTTGTTTTCATTATGGCAAAAAACTAGCCATTTGGACAAAGAAATTGCCTTTGTCTTAGTTGCTAACAGTAGACTGTCCAAATTGGACCAGCAGGATGCAAAAAAAAAAAAAAAGCAAACAAACAAACAAAAAAAAAAAAACAACTTTTCCTCAGATTACTAGGCCTGTAGGCTGAAGATAAATGCCCCAATGTTAAAGAGAAATTCTGAGTGATTGTCCAGGCAGCCAGTTGTTTCTGTCATTTCTCTTAATTATGGAAATCACTTGCTATGTACTTCCTGCTTACTTAGATAATAGTATATCCTTCTCAGGTCTTTGATGGGGTGGAAGACTATATAGTTACAGTTGCAGTTCTCCCAAATGATGGTAGAAAGTTAATTAGGTATGAAACTTTGGACTCTTCAGGATAGGACAATTAATGAAGTAGTTTCTCTACATTTGCCAATTACATATGGACTGACATGATTGTATTTCTTATGTGATAATTGTTCTTGTTGTATGTTTTTCATTTTTGTTAAGGTTATTACTTTCCTTTCTATTTAGACATTACCTGAAAATAATTTTTTTTTTCGAGACAGGGTTTCTCTATGTATCTTATCTTGGCGCCTTTCCTGGAACTCACTTGGTAGCCCAGGCTGGCCTCGAACTCACAGAGATCCGCCTGCCTCTGCCTCCCAAGTGCTGGGATTAAAGGCGTGCGCCACCACCGCCCGGCCAAAAATAATTCTTATTGTATACAGTTTTGCTTTGTTATAGTTAAAACCTTTCCTTTTTATTTAGACAAAAAGGGGGAAATGTTGGAGGAGAGCTGTCCTTACAGTCATTCCACTGTTCCAATAAAGCAACCTTGAATCTAGGACAGAGTCAATGATTGGCTGACTGTGATTAGACATAAAGTTATTGGAGGACTTTGCGGGATGGCTAGAGAGGTCAAGAAGAGACTCAAGGGGAGTTTGGAAAGAATTTCCAAGGTGAGGCAGTCCAAAGATCTTGGAGAGAAGGTCGGCCAATTGCTCCACTCTCCTTGAATTCTTTGGGTCATCATCTCAATTTCTGACCCCTGAGTTTTTTTTTTTTTAATATACTAGAATAAAT